CCAATGTTCATTTCTGAGTTCTGATCATTGTACCATGGGTGTGTGAGCTGTTAACATCAGAGGAAGCTGAGCAAAGTTGTCATTTTTGCAACTCTTCTGTAGGCCCAAAATTATCCCCAAATAAAAAGTTAAAAAAATAAAAGACTGCTATCTAAGTAGCATCAAAAGTGAATTCATCATTTTGCACTGGGCCTGCAAATGATATAGCTAGATCCACATGGAAATATATGGAGAACTTGACAAAACATATCCTGTGACAAAAAATAATGATGCAGCAGTAAAACAATTACCCTAACTCTGAGGGGGTCCTGGGAGGGGCAGAGACAGGAGCTGCTCGATTGGATTAAGTCTTGGGGACAGAAATAAGAGTGGCTATGGGCCACTGACTGAAGACCAGCTGAGACAAGGGACATTTTAGCTGATGTGTAAGGAAAATGATAAGTACCTGATTCTGATACCCTCTCCCTAGTCTAGCATTATAGAAGATCCCTAAAACTTAGAAACAAATCTGGAGAAAAGGATGAAAATACCACCCGTTGATATTCTCCCAAACCTACCGCCATTCATGCCCTGGGTTTTGTCCTTGTGTTTCAAGGAAACTGAAAAGTTTTGAATGGCAAAGATTAAGGTTCTACTCCTAGCACATGGAGGTTCAAAATAGAAATTAAGCTATTGTATAAAAATAGTTATATTGCCTGCCCACTTTTGTTCGTAGACTCAGATTTGTACCTGCCACCCAAAAATCTTCCAGATTGACTTTACTACTTATTTGACATTCTTAGTCTCAAAGTAGATGAGCAGGTTTTGTGTGTGTATTTTTGTTTGTTTGTTTTTTGCATGGTGCAAAATATCATCACGAATTTGATGTATTGTGAGTTAAAATAAGTTAGAGTAAAAGGAAGGGGTGACAAGTGCTTTACTCTTTTTTTTTTTTTTTTGAGTTGGAGTCTCACTCGGTCACCCAGACTGGAGTGCAGTGGCCTCTCCCGCAGCCTCGACTTGCTGGGCTCTGGCGATCCTTCCGCCTCAGCCTGCCGAGTAGCCGAAATTACAGGCATGCGCTACCACGCCTGGCTGATTTTTTGATTTATCGTAGAGATGAGGTCTCGCTGCCCAGGCGGTTCTCGAACCCAACGGGCTCAGGCAATCCTCTCACCTCAGCCTCCCAAAGGCGCGGGATTACAGACTGAGTCACCGAGCCCGGCAAGTGCTTTACTTTTACAGAAAAGTAAATACTGTTACACTGCCATGAGAAGTTAATTCTGCTTGATGCAGATATGGATTATAAGAAAAACTGAAAACCAGAGTCAAAAATCTTAACCTCATTCGCCAAAATAAAAATAGTATATATCTCATTGACTATTAAAGCATAAAAATGACATGTCTTAATAACATGTTTTATCCAAGAAGGACAAAGCACTGCCAACGTTTTCAATAGCCTTACAATTATATCCACCATGGTAAATTACTGTTACAGAGTCAAACTATTCTATTGTGCTTATTAAGGAAGAAAGTAAACATTCTAACTGTGCCATATCTCTTAAACTGGCTGAAAAATATATATTACATTAATATAAAATACTATAGATAAATGTAAAAGTTTTGTAAAATGAGTTCATTTTTTAAAAAACAACCTGAGCATCTGTATTAATAACATTTTAAGTGTTTATTCAACTTATTTACTTGGGAAAACAAAACAAAATATTAAAGATACATTTATTTATCAAAAACAAGTCTTATGAAGAGACATTTACAATGTTTAACATTGGACTAATACAGTAGCAGAATTAACTTGTGAAATTTTAAAGAGAGAAAAGGTTCACTTTAGCTTATCATAAGATACAAAGCACCATCATAAAATGTATTGCACTCAAATGTGAACCTCCTGCTTCAGCCCAGGAGTTTGAGACCAGTCTAAGCAACAGAAAGACCCTGTCTCTAAAAAAAAAAAAAAAAAAAAAAACTTTATTTTAATTAGCCAGGCATGGTGTTCTGTGCCTGTAGTCCTAGCTACTTAGGAGGCTCGTCTGAGCCTGGGAGTCCCAGACCAGCCTGGGCAACACAGTGAGATCCCCGTCTTTTAAAAAATATTTGATTTTAAAGAAGTTATGTGTATATTGTTATGATTCAAGTCATGGAAACCATTTTAAAGTCTTTTTTTAAAAATAAAGGGTATTCTGAAAGGTGCCATCCAACACAGTGACCATTATCTACTTGTGGCTGTTTAATTTTAAATTTGAATTGGCTAAAATGATATAAAATTTTTAAGTTCCTTCCTTTGCCTAATTAGTCACATCACAAGTGCTCAACAGCCACATGTGCCCAGTGACTACACACTGAACATCACAAATTTATTTAATTTTTTAAATTTATATACTTATTTATATTTCCATCATTGGGGAAAGTTCTACTGGACATGGTTGTTCTAAATATCTTATATAAACCATCACTATAATAAAGCTAGTGAAAAATTTTTGTAAATGCAAAGTTTCATCCAGGGAATAGTTCAGATACCACAATATACAAATCAAATTCAAAATCTGTGTATACAATTTTAAACTTATTCTTGCCCAGGATATAATTTTACTTTGTAAAATTTATTTATTTATTTATTAACTTTTTAACTTTTTTATAGAGACAGGTCTCGCTATGTTGCCCAGGCTGGTCTCCAACTCCTGGGCTCAAGTAATCCTCTTGCCTCAGCCTCCTAAAATGCTGGGATTACAGGCATGAACTACCACACCCAGCTAACTTTTTATTTTTAATTAACAACTAATAATTGCACATATTTATGGGGTACAATGTGATGTTTTGATCTTTGTTTACAATGTGAATTACTTTTCTGTATTAACTCTATTACCAGTAGTTTATAAAACTGTTTGTGAAACTGAATGGCAAAGCCAAAGACTATCTTAGATAAATCAATCTGAGTAACTCCAGTAAAAATCCTTTTACCCTCTATGGTAGATTTTTAAAAGATGTTTGTAGGCATAGTCTAATGTATAAAGATGTATGTAGAAATACCAGTTTGATTAAGTTTAAGGCAACTTATGGCAAATTATTTATTCAGAAAATAGAGTCTTCAATAATAAATCTGTAAAATCTTACCTTTATAAAACTATTTTACTAAAACTATTTTACTAAAACACTCTAAAAGTTAAATTTTCAAAAGATATATAATTTGAAAATCTGTATCCATTCTATAACTTGGTCACCTAAAAACAAACTGATTCACAAGTCATACAAATAAAAAGACTCGTCAATTTTATATGAACTATATTATTTGACTGACTGACTCATTACTTTCTAAAGAATTTCTTTCCCACCTTATCAAAAAACTGAAGTAAATTAATGCCAATTATCTAAGACAAAGCCATAGGTGACAAGTCAATGGCCATAACTAAAGGCTCAACTCTTACATGGAAAATATTTGCTTTTTGAACAATAAGAATGTTATAAAACAAATTTAATAGGACCATTTGATAGGTTGAAAGTCAAAAGAGGGCATTAAATCTGACAAAATGTTTCTTAAGCAAATGATTAAATGGTGAAATTATACAGTATTCCTATGGCTGAAACATTCAAGAACTTTCTTTAAAATAAAGTGCTTACACTAAAAATAAAATCCTATGCATGAGCAAAATGGAACTTTTAAAAAATTATCCAATTATCCCACCAATATCCTTTAAGCCCACTTCTTTCTAATTGAATTTCTGATCAATTTTTTTTGTCATTTAAACATTGTAAGATTTAGATTTGTAAGCATTTCAACTAGTAGAACTATCAAAAAATGGCAAATATGTTTAAACCTTCACCCAGACATTTCAGAAACCAAAAATGTTAGTGTCTAAATTTAGTTAGGTTTCTATTATTCTTATAACATATTCTTAAATCAAAATTAATTAAATGAAAACAAAAAAACCCCCTAATGTAATTTTTTATGTTAACCCTGAGCAAACTTCTGTGATAAAATGTTATCATGAGGTAACTCAAAGAATGCTGTCTCATCAAGAGCAAATCAAAAAAAACACAGGCCATGCGCAGTGGCTCAAGCCTGTAATCCCAGCACTTTGGGAGACCAAGGCGAGAAGATTAACTGAGCCTGCAGGTTTGAGACCAGCCTGGACAACATGGTGAGAACTCGTCTCCACAATACATCAAAAAATTAGCCGGGTATGGTAGCACGCGCCTATAGTCCCAGCTACTCAGAAGGCTGAGGCATAAGGATCTCCAGAGCCCAGCAGATCGATGCTGTGGTGGCCGTGAGCATGCCACTTCACTCTTCACTCCAGCCTGGGCGACGGAGTGAGATTCCAACTCAAAAAAATAAAAAAATAAAAGAACACATCTCTGGAAAGCTTAGGTCGAACAATATGCTGTCAATCCTATCGTTCTGCTGGCTGTATAACAAAGCCACTGTGGGTGCTTTGGTTATATGTAAATCATACCTAGCTTCTGAGTTGGCAGTACTGATCTAAGCTCTACAGTTCCAATTCAATCTGGCAGATACTGAGTGTCTCCTATGTGCAAGTTTCTATGCTCGGCATGTGTTTTACTACAGCTCTCTACTTGACTACCTTTATTTGCTTCACTGACACTCAGATTTCATCTGTCATTAAGTGTTAACTGGACTACTCTTCTCACTCTACATTCAACAGCAATGAACACCACTGCAAGGAGTTTACTATCATTCCCTCAGTCAGAGGTTCTCATCAGAATATGGACTCTCACTTTACTACAGAGATGAAACATTACATAGCTTCAAAATGTGATTCTGCCTCCTTTATGGGCAGAAAAAGAACTTTGGCAATTTCTTCAGGTGTGAATGAAAAACTACTCTGCCACTACAATAGAGCAATTTTAGAATTATAATTTGAGAAACTTACTAAATGATGTAATGGTTTATTAAAAAGTTGGACAGTTGCCTTTCAGGTCCTTCAGTCAGTGAAGTCGGTATCTCTTGGCTGTGATTCTGCTGAAGGGGTCGTTGTTGGATGCGACTATGAGTTGACTATGGGGTTCTTGAAGTGATATCTAAGGCTACGGATACAGCTATTGATGGCTGCCACACACAACTTCCAGTCATGCCCACATTCTGAGAAGTCACGAGTCGGGTAGATGTCTTGGAGAAACTCTGGTGGTAAAATTTCAAAACATAACAGTTACTTGGAAATCACTTCTCAGAGAAATGAGCTTATTCAATTTCTATTCTACTGCTGCTTCTGTGAAAAGGTCATTAAGATCTTAACTAATTAAAACACATGGGCTATAATCATTATTAAATTAGTTGAACAAATATCTTTTAATCTAAAAGGATAATTATATGAAATAGCACCGTGCTTACAACACAATAAAGCTACAATCTCTCACAATCTTGCTATGTACCAGAATAAAAACCCTCTGCTGCCTTGAGTACTCAAGGTCAACTTTTCTTATTCTTAAGTATATCAGATGTACATCTAGTATGTCACTCATCATCTCAAACAGACATGCTAAGCTTCTGTAATGCACAAGAGGCTGCAGTGTCTTCATACTTTGAGAGGCAAAAAGCTGTAACTGCTATCGTTTTTTGGTAGTGCTAGATTTGAGGGTCTTTGGAACATGCAGTTGGAGAAAGATTTCTATAAGGGAAGATGACAAAGTAGCAAAATTCAAGGAGCACTCTTAGAGAAAGTCAGAGGATAGAAAAAAGGAAAAGGTGGGGGAGAGAGGTGTTTATGGGAAGATCAGAGCTGCCCCCGGATACTTTGCTAGGTAATTGCCTAAGTGTCTTTGAGCCCTTAGAAAAGGATCTGGTGATCCCTACAAGTCAGCATTAGTTGGCTACATTAATCTCATTTGTTTTTCAATAGGATTAATCAGCTAGTAAATGAGGACAATGCCACAAACACCGCACATATTCAAATGTTTTAGCAAGTCATGTGTCAAAGTTAAAAGACTTTCGCACCCAAAGGATTAATTAATAAATCTTCAGTAGCCAGGAAGGAGGCTTTTGTGGCATGTCACTGGGTTCAGTAACCAGCTCTATCCTGTTGAACATTTTTATTAACCAAAAAGAAGTTATGGGAAAAAATGCTTGCCCCAACTGCCATGACAGCAAGCTGGGAGGGATAATTAACACACTGGAAGACAAGTACAGGCTCTGCAAAGCTTTCAAGAGGTGGCAACAAGGAGACTAAATTGGTTGGTGTTTCTCCAAAATGTGTTCTCTGGAACTCTAGTCATAAAAGAAGTTTCTGGGGGTAAAAGGTTCCAGTTGTGCAATGGGAGACGCTACACTCGAGTTAGATCCCAACTGGGGATTTAGATTGCACATAAGCATATTCAATGTGCTGGAAAATCCCACAGTAAAGTCATGTAGAAGCTTTCATTGATTCAAAGGTTACAGCATTCAGTGGGGTGCATAAGTGAGAGAGGCGGCAGCACATAAGACAGCAGAAGGGCCAGGCTCGGTGGCTCAGCCTGTAATCCCGCGCCTTGGGAGGCTGAGGTGAGTGGATTGCCTGAGCCCGTGGGTTCGAGACCCACCTGGGCAACTTGGTGAGACCTCCTCTCTACAATAAATCAAAAAATTAGTTTGGTGAGACCTCATCTCTACAATAAATCAAAAAATTAGCGCATGCCTGTAGTTCCAGCTACTTGGAAGGCTGAGGCGGAAGGATCGCCAGAGCCCAGCAGGTCGAGGCTGCGGTGGCCGGGAGCAGTCACGGCCCTCCAGTCTGGGTGACAGAGTGAGACTCCAACACACACACACACAAAAAGACAGCAGAGGATCAGCAGCCAGGGCTAGGGAGATCTGGGCATTCAAAACATGTTTTAAAACTGAGAGTCAAGTGAACCTATCTATCGATAGCACATTGGGGTGCTAGCTTAAGGTCTTTCTTAACTGGTTGACTACAAAGTGCTTCATTCATGAAATGCCTATTACATTTGATTGTCTTTGAGAAACAGTTTGAGGAATGCTGACCTATACTAACAGGGCAAAATGCGGGAGGAATAAATAATTTTATATTTATATTTTTCCTACACTTACATTTAAAAATATTAACAGCCTAAACACTAACAATATAAGTACTGGATAAATGTCGGTATAAAAAAAAAGATCTAGGATGACCATAAATTTTTAAACGGCAAGTGCCATTTTAGGCTGCATCAATGGCCTAGTAGGTAATAATAGTACTTTTTATCCTGGGTTGATTTTAGCATATCTGAAGGTAATCATTGAATCAGATTGTGAGGAATCAGGGTAACATTTATGTCAGGAATTATAGAAGGAATGGTGATATTCAACTGCAAAAGCATAAGGCTGGAAAAGGAAAAGTTTGGGTAGAACGTTCCCTCTCCAATCATCATGTTTCCATGTGGAGAGATCTCTACATTGGAAAGTTTCAGCGAATTGGGCCTGTAAGATTCAAGAATAAAGCCACTATTTTCATCTCTATCTGCCTTGTCTGAGTGGTTTTCTCTTACTTGGTTTTGAACTTGAAAGAGGATGTCTTTATTATTTCCCAATGCTCCAGAAAGAAGTAATAGCTGTCAATAACTACCTCAAGGCCCAGTCTGTGAAAAGTAATTGGATTGATCCCTATTTAGCTCGGGAAGGATAACCAGGACAAATGTGTATGACTTACAGGATGATACATTTTGAGTCACCAGAAGAAAGAACTTTCCCTTAAATTGGAACTCTTTTAAAACGTAGTAGACAGCCTTACTGAGATAGATAGAGCCTCATCAGTGGAAGTCAACAAGCCGGGAGAGGTGGCTCTATGTCAAAGCAAGATGAGATTTCCTGCTCTGGGTGGGATATTGTGTTAGAAGGCCTGTAAAGTACTTGCTACTACTAAGATTTTACAGTTCTGCAATATGAAGACATAGATGGGGGGTTTAAGGAGTGAGGGTTGTTTGCTGATTGCAAATCTGCAGCCTACTAACTCCCTCCATAGACATTATTCTCTAGAGAGCTAAGTGATACTGAACTCTCATCAGAGAGCATCAGATGAAATCAACACCTCTGGCTACTGGACATAGTTACCTTTGACTACTAATTTCCAGAAGAGTTTCCCCCAAATGACAAAATCATAGGAAAAGAAACAATATTTTAATAGAAGAATGCATTGGCTTGTTCATGTAATCGGATATCAATTCGCAGTTAAAACATACGAATAGGCCTCAAAAACATCATGTTGAGTGATTAAAAAGCATGCAAAAGGATGCATACTGTACATCCTCATTTATGTACACCAAAACAACTACATAGCAATATTATAGTTATTTATGGAACTATTCACATGAGCAGCAAAAGTATAAAACACACATGGGAATGGTCTATCCAACTCCAGGACTGTTTACTTCTGGGGAGCAGGAAAGAGGAAAAGGATGATGGGTTGGAGTTTTAATTACATTAGTAATGCTTTATTATTAAAAAAAAATCCTGGGTCACAAAAGGCAAAATATCTATTTCAGTGATGAGTAGACAGGTATTTATTATAGTATTATATTCTTTCCCATGTATTTCTATATGTTTGGACTCATTTAGAATGAAGCAATGCTTTTACAGAAATTATATTAAAGGTCATAAGCCCAGTCCTCCCATGAGTGCAGGCTTCTCCTCTCACCTCTGGAAACCCAGCCCTTGCCCTGACTCTTCCTTCCCCAAGTTCATTTTATCCTTATATTAAAGTGAAATATACTTTCTTGTCAGTTTTTAAATCCTTGTGCCTGGCTCTGCCCCTCGGGACAACAATGACTCTACTGTTTTCTCTCTGCTGAAATAGCTCACATGACTGCCCTTCTACAAAGCAATAGAACTTTGAGTCTTACGGGAAATTTGTTAAAATCTGCCCTACGTGGATGGTATGTCAAACTCGTGCTAAACATTTTTTTTAACTGCAAAGACATTTTCCTGATTTCAATATAATTCAGTAAGAGGTAAAGAAGATAAAATACTTAGGAAAATATTTTTCATCAACTTTTAAGGAACTAATCTTTTCCAGATATTAAAGAACCATAAAAGTCACTAGCCCACATTAAAAATTTTTAATTAGAAAAACATTATTTCTTCTATAAACACATCCATTTCAGAATTGGCTACAGACTTTTTTTTTAGGGTTTTAGGTGAGATAAATTAGGTTTTAAAAAGTTTAATTAGAACATAGCGACAAAAAAAAGAGAGAAAGAAATTGGATTTGGGTATTTTGCCTAATGAGTTGGCTCAGTGATGCTCAGATTTTAAGTTGTGACCAATTGCTAGGTCATGAAATCAGTTATAGCAGCACTTTAAAATGAAATGTAATAGAACAGAAAACACTGGAATGCAATATTCATAGAAAGAGTAAGTATTGCTTTGGTTTTTCAGAAAAAACTCACACAGAGACAGACACGTACTATGTCACAATGTAAAATGTATTTCTTATTATGGGTTGCAGTAAAAAAAAGTATGAAAACAATCAGGTTAGATGATAGCAAATGCTTATAAAAGAAGCTGTACGTCAGGTTCCTTTAGTCTGAAACACCAGTGCTGTTCAAACTTGTTGGATGTGAAAATGTGTGATATGAAGGTATGAACCAAAGAAGAACCAACTGAGATCAGACTGGGGTTCAGAGCTACATCTTTGCTGGGTACCAGTGACACAAGTAAGAAATATTCTGCTTACTGCTTTGTCCAAATTTCAAATTTCACAGAATGTTTTTGAAGTTTTATTACTTCATGTACATATGTCATATAGACTATGCTAAGCTAAAGTGCACAAGAAAAACGTAGCACATTCAACCTGCTCTACTATTGTTGACACTTCTGCAAACTGAGTACAAGCCCTTCAGCTTTGACCTTACTCCTTAGTCAATGAAGGTGTTTCGAGTGCCCATACCCATGGTGGACCATAGCAGGGAACCATAGTCAATAACCCCTTTCCTGTTCTAGTAAAGCTATTTAAGAGAGAGCAATCAACCCTAACAACCCAAATTCAAAGAGAAATACAATTCATGATTCTGCTCCTTGTTATACACTAATGAAGAACTCTGCAAGCTCCATTAACCTCAGAACATACACAGACTGAAGAGATTCCTATTTTTGCCCTTCTTCTCAAACACAGTTGGCTTTCATTTGCTCTGGTATACTCCACATGTAACAAACCTCGGAGAGCATGAATCTTATTGGAGTTAAGGGCACACAGGCCACGTCTCATATTGCCATAGACGTTACTTCTGATCAGGACATCCTCTGAGAACAGGTTGCGAATAAGATATCTGGAGGACAACTCTGGGCGAGACTTTGCTTTTGCTATATTCAGTACTGAGTATGGCATCAGTATATTTCTAAATGGCTTTCCAATATAGCCTAGAAGCAAAAGAGAAAGATGTCAATCTTCATGACAGATGTTAGGTTGCATTTTTTTAAGGCTGTACCAGAAAGATTGATTTTCCTGAATTTTAAGGCTCAAGGATTTGAGAACTCTCAAGAATTTAAGTCTCAAGAACTCTCAAGAATTTGAGAGTCTTACACTTTTAGTGGATTATGAGACAGCATGAGAAATGAGGTAGAAATCACTTGTTAATGTGATTGCACATGCTCCCATTGCTCAAGAGGAAGATTTAGTATTTTCATATCTTTTGGAATACAGTCAGTTTTAAAATTACATGTGGTAACAAATTCTAAGTAATTTAATGAATTGTTTCCCTACTTATATGAAAGTCTTTTACAAAAATTAACACCATGATTCTTCCTGAAATATTTTAAATAATATTTTATTTTAGTTATTTAATTTTTTTTTTTTTTTTGAGTTGGAGTCTCACTCAGTCATCCAGACTGGAGTGCAGTGGCC